CGCCCTTGGTCATAGAAATGATGTAATTTGAATATAAATTATTTATAAATACGTATGTCGAGTTATATTTTTATTACTACGTAAAATATATTTAAGAATTTACGACCACTGTGCTGGGTGAGACGTTGTTGAAACAAAAAAAGTTATGCATTCCATCATGTACACAAACAGTGTCATAATTCGCCAAGTGCAAATCAGCAAATTCCTAAAATTTTTGTTTATTTTGAACAATCCGGATAATCGAAAATCCGGATAATGGAGGTTCTACTGTAATTACTTTTAACTCAATAGTAGATAATTAAAACTGCTTCATATTAATCAGTCTCTTTTCTTTCTAATCACAGCCTTCTAAATTTCTGACATTTTATCTATATCTTTCTTATTCAATAACTAGTAATTCAAATTTATTGTATAAATATATAAATGTTCCATTGCTCTCAAATTTATTTTCTTACATATTAGCTAGAAGGCTTGTAGGGTAATCATGTCACTAATACATACAGTACGTGAGTCTGTATTAAATTCCTTTAACTGTATTAGTTAAATATAAGTACATTTAAAAATCAGTATATATTAATTAAACAGAATTATTTTGAATTAATCATGTTTATTGGCTATTGTGAGACACATTTAAGTTAAAACATTTTTAGAATGTAAAAATTAAAAGTTTTAATTAAAAAATTAAGAAAATAAATTTAACAAGCAATTATTTATTGTGACATTGTCACAATGCCAAACTGCAATTTTTAATCATATATGTTCTCCATTGCAAATTAGTAGTGGCTTGCTCCTGTACATCATACTTTTCCTGTTAGCAAGAATTGTGCCGGTCATCTGTTTAACTCCTTTCAGGGGAAATTTTTGAATTGAAATAACATGTCTTCCAGGCTAAACAGAAAGTTTGTATATACAGTAGCACATCGATTATCCGACTCCCGATTAACCGTTACTTCGGTTAACCGACCGTTCCAGTTGGCAAATTTCAAATGTCCGCTAGTGATGTGGCACTACAATATTTGGCTGTCTTGGCTACTTTAATATTATTTTTGTTAAATTTTTGTGTGTTTTAGCTGACGACAATGGCTCAACCATTGAAGGGAGGCCAGTATTTAAACAAGACTTAATTTTCTAATTATGATTGGTTGTTTGTTTTGTGAGCAATAAAATAATTTAAAAATAATTTTTAATGATACAATAGCGACGATTATTATTAAAAAAAAATTTGTTAGGCTTAACATCAATGAAAATTCAACGCGAAGTTGGTTAATAGTGATATACTAATATACTAATTACATGGGATATACTAATATACTATAGTAATAATGTATTTTTTTTCATTCATTTCGGTTATCTGAGTTTTTCAGTTATCCAATCAACCTGAGTCTCCAATTGAGTCGGATAATCGATGCTCTACTGTAGTTAATTGGGGTCTCTGCCACTAATCTGGGCTCAACTTTCATCTACCTAACTCCATTCTTGAGATTAAGGAAGGACAGACTGATAGATGGATGACAGTGGGAATTTGTCTACAATTTATTCAAACTGCAACCCAAAATATAAAATAGAATTGCACTCTAATGAACTGGTTGAGTTGCCAGTATTATTTTCCTGAACAGAAAATATTTTCAACTCAAACATCTATAAATAAGAAAATAATTAGGGAAGTATTTACAATACTACTTTCAAAATATATGCAGATTATGACAAACTTTTAACAAAAAGTGTGCTTTAAGTATTTGAGATCTTCATTTAAATATCTGAAGTGAGAGTGTAATAATGGTTTGCAAGAGTGTGTTGTTAGATTTATGTGATTGCTAAAATATAGATCAAGTATCATAGATGAAACTCTGGCTGTTTGACATTTTTTTTTATGCTTATTCTTTTATATAAATATAGATGTGGTCTCATTTCACCATACATATAAAACATTCAACCTGACAGATTAGAATTTCAAATGATCTAGGCTAAATTGATGATTGTATTAATCCTATTTCTAGCAAATAATTTTTAATACAAAATAAGACAGCTTAATAATAATAATGGTTACTATTACGGTTTTGAAGTTTTGTAAAATTTATATATTTTACATTAATAGAAACTTTACGTGCCTTATATCTTGGTGATAATGATTTTGAATATGTGCCTCCTGAAATTGGATTGCTGAAAAACTTGCAAATTGTGAGTATTTATTTATTTTATTTATGAATATAATTTTAAAAATAATAATTCCAAAATAATGCTTTTATTTTTAAATTTTAAGTTTTTTAAACCATATCAAGGTATACAAATATTTAAAATATATTTGATATAATTTCAATAAATAAAAATATACTCTTCACACCAATAATTGTTCATTAAATAAATAAACCTGTCTTTCAGCATTAAAATTCTTTAAGGATATTGAAATTATCATCAAAGTATTAATTTCAACATTATTAAAGAATTTTAACACTGAATGACAGTTTTATTTATTTAATATTTGATATAATTTATTTTATACAAATTTTCATAGCTACATACAGACATAAAATGCTTGACAGGCATAAACTTGAAAAAATATTAATTGTTGCATTNTAGGATGTTAAAAATAGTAGGGCACCTCCTGTAAGCCATACTGATTTGGCGCTTCTTGGCGATCTTGTCATATATAGATCTTACATATGGGTTAAAGGTGACGGGTAATAAATATGATATTTTATATGTTTGCTATTTTCTGCTTGAACAGTTTTCTTTTTTCTATGTTTCAAACTAAATCTTCTATCTTAAGCTGGAATTTTTTATAAATTATATTTAACAAACACACTTTTACATAAGTTTTCAGCACTTGTTTCTTCCTAATTGAAACAGCTTCTAACCTTTAGAAGGCTTTTCAATGTTTGTAAGAAGTTGCTGGGTTGAGACTAAGACTCGAATCACCTTTTAGCAGCATTGGAACTGTTAGTCCCACTCACGTGGTCAGTGGATAGCTTTTGTTTGTTTTATTGAGTGGTGGAGGGGTTGCAAATAAGTCAATAGGGTGATCAGTGATCCGTTCCGGAAAGAACTCAATTTGAAGCCAATTAAGCAAAACAATAAGTTTAATATAAAAAGAATTTCAATGATTACATAAAACTAGTACAAAAAGAATACATCTAGGTAGGGTTAACATGTATCGAATGGAATTGAGTATCTAAGTACTTATACCTGGCATGAAAATTCCAAACTAACATACACATATTTGTTGTATATGACCCGGTGTGGGAGAAATCGTTGAGTACTTATATCTCTAATTACTGAGAGAGAGAGAGTTCACATAAACAAATGGCATGATATCTGGTCAGTTGTCTTCAATGTATTAGAGATAGTGGAGGGCTGGAGAGGGCTGTTGATTGGGTGCCGAGATCTACTTTCTTCTGTGGGAGAGTCTGCCTGGGTGAGTGTCGGTCCTGATCTCTGCCCCTTTTATCTCATAATGCCCTCCAATCAATGTTTTAGTTATTCTCATGTGACAGGATGCTAATGATGACTTGACTTAACAGATGTTCATCAAAAATATGTGATAATATCTTGCCCTGAAAAGTTGATATTCAGAAAGGAAGGTTTATTTCACTTTTCTCATTTTTTCCCCACAAATTACAAAAATGTGTCACTTTAATGCAAAAATAATATTTTAATTTAATTCTCAATAAAATATCCCCATTTGATGTCTCCAGATTCTCACATGTTTATAAATAATGTCTTTCTCTAAGTATAACTACTGTAATTTGTTTCTTTCTCTAAATTTATGATGTATTTTGTTTGATTTATAGAATTAATTAACTGAATAGAAACAGAACTTTTTGAAAATGTCTTTTTATGATAATTTCAATCAGAAATCAAACAGCATAATCATTTATTCTTACTGACTAAATTACCAAAATTATTCTTTAATGAAAATTTGGATTCTTATAGTCTGTGGCTTTCTAAACAAAATTCAATTGGTTTGTGAAGGAATGTTTACTAAGATAAACATCTACTATCCATTTCTATTAACAGATCTGTCAGATCCTATTATTATTATTAGCCTTAATATAGCTCAATAAATAATTCAGCAGATCATTTGATAATAGAAATGTTTATTTATAATGACAATAAAAACAGCATAAACAAATTAAAATTAATTATTTTTAAAGATTATTTATAAAGTAATTTAAATGATCACTCTTCTAAAAATATTAAAGACTAGTTGTACCTGGCCACGTGTTGCTGTGGCTCAAAATGTATCTATTATAAATATATAACACTCCCCACAGGAGGAAATTTCAAAAAATCCCTTCTTAGTGTACATTCTCTTGACATACCCTATTAAAGCACAATCAAAAATGCAAAAAACCACATCTAAAATAGTATAATAGAAGCCAAGTTCTTCATGGTAAGCCTTAATTTTGTCCCCCCCCGCGGGGAATTTTGACATCTATATAATATACAAGGGTTCGGACATGTGCCCTGCATATCTTGCCGACCACGCAACTGCACCTTGCGGTTACCTATCTTGTATACATATGCATCTTGCCCCTTGCCACCTGCTGACAACAAAAATATAACGCTTACCTAGATGATATGTTTTAATTTATGTGAATGTTTAATGGAATAATATACAGCCTATGTCCACCCTCAAGGTCCATTCTAAATATTGGTGAAAGAATTTTTGAAATCAGATGAGTAGTTTCGGAGATTATCTCCTAGATCCAAACTTTACTTCTTTATAATATTAGTATAGATAATAATACATTTTACTATCTGATTTTAAAATATTGATAAGGAATCCAAGTGAATTAAACAAATTTTTCAATTTTAAAAAGATATAAATAAGTTCAGTTGGAAATAGTTTCCCTCAACTAATCAACACACTACAGGAAGGCACTAATGTGCAGCTGCAATGTTAGCAGTGAGAATTGTGATGATTATGCACTTAGTTTGCACAGCATGCAATTTATTTTTTATTTTTTAATTCAGTATCCAGAAACATCCAATTATTAATTAAAGGTTTAAAAAAATGCAATGTTTACCAAAGATGGAGCTAGAAAAAATCCATTATTCCGAGTTACAGATCTGCTAAAAAGAGGCAAAATTACATTGATTTGTGGACCTGGAAAAAATCTGTTATTCCGAAAAATCCATTGTTCCATGATTGGTTAAAACAAGATTCTACTGTATAAAGTTTAATTTTCATATTAATTATATGAATATTGTAATTGTCTGAAACATGAAATAATTTATCTCAAAATTGCTATAAATTTTGCTTCTTAATCATAAAATTATTCTGCAATTTATCAGTATTTCTACTATATTTATTAAAATACTAGTTCTAAACTGTTGACTATTCTATGCTGAGGTGCTTCTAGTCATGGTGAGTGTTGGTGACTTTTTTGTTAGAGCTGAGACAAACAACACACAATGGATTATGCCTGGATTAAAATCCATTATCTAGTTTTTAATAATTGCTTAACAATCCTATTAACAATTCATTTAATATTGCTGTTAATCATGGCCAGAATCGAAATGAATCCTGGCCCACTTCAACATTCTCCACTAAAATCAAGTCAAACAAATATGCAAAGAAGAGGGCTTGAAAGACCCAGAAAAGAATTTGTTCAGACTTCGGAAGACATGAACCAGTTAGTGGATTTAATTGGTGAAGAATATACTTCAGAATATGAGATGAGTACAAATACCAATAGTATGAGAAATTCTAAAATTAAGGAAAATTTTGAAACATCGGAACAGATTGAGCAGTTAAGAGGAAATGAACCAGAATACTCACTTAAATCAATTTATGATCTAATTCAGAAGTTTAAACCAGGAAATGCAGATAATCAAATATGAAATTAGACGACTTCAGAAAGACAACACAAAAATTAGAGATGAAATGAAAATCATTGGTCAAAAAATTCAACAGTGTGAGGAAAAAGTAAAACCTTGTGTAAATTTAAAAGGTATGTTAGAGTAAAAGGTAAAACTGGATAGAATATTAAATGATAAAACTAAAAGAAATCTAATTATTCTAAATTTTCCATTTAAAATGGTTGATAACTTGCAAGAAATAAAACAATTTATAAAAGTAACTTTAGGCTTAAAAGATATAGAAATAGAAGGTTTAATCAACTTGGGAAAAAATTATTTTTATCATTTGATTCTCTAAATTATGATAACTTCGGTTAAAGAAAGGAATCTAATCCTTAAGAAATTCTGGATGAACTGTTCCAAAATGGAGAATGAGGAAAAGATCATCATCATAAAACAGATTTATGTCTTAGATCAAGAATCAGGAGGAAACGACTACTTAATAAAATTAAGGTAGAAATGGCAGAAAATATCAGAGTATGAATAAGAGATGATTACTATATAAAAGATAATGACATATATACACTTGATATGGATACTAATGAATTTATATTAGTAAACCATGTTTTAGGACAAATAACCCAAAAAACCCTGACCAAAATAATAAAAGCAATAATTATACAAAATGATAATCAGGGATAAAATCATATAGAAATAGATGAAGAAAATGTGAATGGAAATAAACTGACTTCGGAAAAAAATAATATAAAAAAGATTATGTATTTTCTTTGATTTTAATTTAATGTATTATTCAGTTTTTGGAATTGCCAAGGAATCAAACGAAAAATTCAGACAATATCAATGAAAAAACTTAGATTTGAATGAAATTATAGGAATAACTGAAACGTGGTTAACAACTTTGAATTTGTTGGAAAAAACTTATTTAGAACAAGAAAATAATATATTAATGAGTAATGCATACTGCACAAGTAAATTTGGCAGTCCTTCAGGAGGCATGTTACTTTTAATCAAGAAAAGTCTGGTGATATTTTATATCAAACTATAAGCAAGAACTTTATACTAGCGATAATAGAATTAAAAGACAAACTAAAAAATGAATGGAACAAACATTATTTAGGAATAATAGTAACATATCTACAGCCAATGGTGGAAAATAAACCAATATTAAATGAAATTCAATATTATCTAAATAAGTGGGATTTTTTTACTCACCTGTGGTTGATCAGAGGAGATTTTAACTCACATATAGGAGAGATATCAAACACAAAGATTTTTCAAAATTATGAAAATATGAATAATAAAAGACAATCTAAAGATAAAATTTTAAATAGTGAAGGTAAAGCTCTATTAGTATT